TTATGAAAGCAACAAATGTAGAGAATTGTAATAAACCATTTGGTGGTAAAGTTATTGTGTTGGGAGGTGATTTTAGGCATATTTTGCTTGTTGTTAGAAAGGATTAAGACATGATGTGGTGAAGTCATCTATAAATTATTCTGAAACATGGATAACTTATAAAGTTCTAAAGCTTACAGTGAATATGAGGTTAAATACTACAAAAACAAATGATGGTACAAAAGATATAAAAGAATTTGTTGATTGGATATTAAAGACTAGAGATGGAGATATGCCTTTGAATGAAAATGGTGAAAGACATATTGACATACCCAAAGATCTTTTAATTGAAGGCAATGAAACACCTTTACTTTCATTAGTTAATTTTGTCTATCCTCATTTTGTGCATAACATGATGTTTGCGGATAATTTTGATGATAGAGTCATACTTTGTCTTACTATTAATGTAGTTGAGGAAATTAATTATTTTATTTTATCTTTGATTCCTGGTGAAAAAATATACATATACTTAAGTTGATACACCATGTCAATCAGATAAGGATCAGGAAACGCAAGGTGAATGGTTTACATCTGAATTTTTTAATGACATTAAATGTTCAGGTATTCAAACTCATCTACTTAGCTTAAAAGTTGGTATTCCCGTAATATTGTTTAGAAATATTGATCAAGCAAATGGTTTATGTAATAAAACAAGATTGTAAATGAATGATTTGGAAAAAATGTTATTTCAACTACTCGTGATTACTTGAAAAAAATATTGAAGACAAAATATTTATACTAATAATGAATTTGATTCCTTCTGATCCTGGATTTCCTTCCAAGTTTTAAAGAAGACAAATTGTATTATCATTGTGTTTTGTAATGACAATCAATAAAAGTCAAGGTTAATCATTCTCTAAAGTTAGACTTTATCTTCAGCATCAAGTATCTCATGGTCAGTTCTATGTGGCCATTTTTAGAGTCAAAGTAAAGAAAGAAGCTGAAAATGCTTATATTAGATGAAGGAAATGTAGTATCATGTATTAAAAATGTAGTGTACAAATAAATTTTTTAAAACTTCTAAACACATGCAAGTACACTATTATACCAAAAATTACATGTTTACTTTATTTATTTATTATACTTCTTTTTTTACTATTTACTCTATAAAAATACATATTTATGATGTTCATCATTGTTTCAAAATTATGCTCATTCAATGATCATAAAATTGTATAATTTGTAAATTTTATTGACAGTCATATAATTACTTTATAAATTATAATTTGTCATTACTTATTTCTTTTCTTCTTTCGTTGTTTAATTGAGTAATACGTAATGTATAGTATAAATTTACAATATTTCTCAATAAATTTATTTTTTTCCTATAATATATCAAATTTATAAATTATTATACTAATCTATTTGATTTTTTTATTATTGCAAATTATACAAATGTGATATATTATATTATCTCGTTATAGAAATGTATTTTTAAAATTTTGTATTACATAATTTGATCGAATATGCTTTTTATTTATTATAAGATTTTTTATTTTATACAATTTTTTCAATATAACATTTTTATTTAAAACTTTTAAAAATTGAAGATGATTTGTAACATTTCTTTTTATTTTCTTTTTTTCTTATTAATACAAATTATTAATATTAAAGTATTATTTATTATTAATATAAAAATTTCAAGAATCCCGTGCATTGCACGGCTATACAATTGAATTAGAGAATTCTCTCAAAGGTGAAAGGGAATATAAAGTGGAAAAAAAAAAAGGGGGGGGGAGTTTCCTTTATGAAAAACAAAACCTGTTGAATTCTTTAATCCATTAACGGCAATGTCTGTGAGGTAGACCAGAAAAGTTGAAAAAGCAATACAGAGATAGAGATAGCCGGAACAGGAGTTGTAAAAAAGAGCTCTGCAATTAACGCTTTTCTTTGGATGTCAGAATAAGCACTTGCCAATTATCTGCACATTCTTTGCTTGCAGGACTTGCATCAGCATCATTGTCGTTCCAGTTCTCTTCTCACCACTGTTTCCCTCTCAAAATGAATATGAATAAGAATCCAACTCAAAAGTAGCACTCTACCATAATTAAATATGTGACTCCTAAAATTGTCACACCTTCAAAAATCGTATTCTCCTATCAACAATTGGTATATTACATCTTAATTAAGCACCAATATTCTTAATCCAATAATAGTAATTTCCCAATTGAAGAAGAGAATATTCCCCATGGAAACAAGATGCATTTTTAGGAATAAGTCTCAGTTCCCTTTTCCATTCATAGTAATTTTCATTATGGATCAGTAAAAAGCTTTTTTTTCATACTTAATAATTAAAATTTCGTAATATAATGTTATTTAATTTTTAAAAAACAAAATCAATCTAAAGTTTTATTTTGAATTCAACTTGTCATATGAAAGAATATTAATCTTCAACGTTGAAGCAAAAACTTAAGTATTATCATAAATTTGATTTTTTTTTTTATGTATTCTTTAAATCCTTTTTTTAAAATGTATACTTCAAATGTTAAAAATTTATAAAATGTGATATTTTTAGTTTTCAGTATTTCTATATTATAATATTGTACTTTTCTAATATTATTTAATTATAATTATTATTATTTTATTAATACCAATGTCGCTACAATTTAACTAAGATACAGGTATGAAACTTTGAATTAGTGTTTTTAGTTTAATACGAGATCCATTTTTACACTATTGTATTTTACTCTGGTCAGACAAAATCCTTATATCGGGCTGGTCGATAGGTTCGACAGAAGGCCCATAACAGAGGTTCTTTAACTGGGACCTTGTTTTAATGGCACCAGGATCACACAATGACAGGGTTTTATTAACTGAGAAGATTATGAACCATCATTGCATTCTTTGGATCAGTGGATCAGTGTCTTAAAGCCCATTTAGGTAAAATCGGAAGCCCATTTTCTCAAATGGAAAATGGCACCATTTATATTATTGTTGCTAAAAAGTAACATCTTACCTTTTGTTTTCTCTTTTCTTCTGTAGATGATTAAAGAAATGGGATTCTTTCCACTGTGGAGTTGGATGGTGAATTATCTTCTTCCACACCCTTTTCAATCTTCCACCATGTGTTTGAAGTGACATTTACTCATTTGTTTCCCTTTTTATAATGACTGTTCTCAATCCAAATAAAATTTTAAAAGTTATTTTCATCGTCTTCTTTTCTCTCACGGCCCCAGAGGAAAAAAAAAAACATAAAATTTTCTTTTGTGTCATTTTATCTTCAGCAATAGGAATCCAGGGATTTCTTCACAGAATAATTCATTCTAAAATTTCGAATTGTTGTAGTGTCATTTTTGCATATTATTCATATAAATTCTTCAATCACACGTGTCTATATTTCCAACCAACGGTGGTTTGCAATATGGTAAAGATAGAGGGTCATTTTATTTTTATTCTTAAAAAGTATCAGGTCCTCTTCACCTAGTGCTGAATACTTTACTGATTAATGTTTCCATTCTTTACATTTCAAGCAAATATTTTGGTGAAATGTTACCGACAAAAGATAAAATGTCAATTTTTGGTATATCATCATTGTTTGCCATATTAAAAGAATATTTTAATTTTCTATAAATATTTAATCTTGTTCTAAAGTCTGCTTTGCAAAACATGGAAATTGTGAGCACTTAACAACCATGCTAACACAGTTCTTCCAAAGCCTAAAATGATAGAAGGAAAGTTTTAAGATGAATTTTTTTCCTCTTTAAAGATGAATCTTTCTATATTTAAAGTTCATGGCACAAGTTTATTAATACTTTATATTCGTAATATCACTTTTTACTTGCATTTCATATAAACTAAATTCTCACCATCTTTTTCCTTTACACCACATCTTATATATGATAATTGATTATTATTATTATTATTATTATTATTATTATTATTAAATACAATATTTTGATTTCTCAGGAACACGTAAGTTGGAGTAACAGATATGGATTATAAGGGGCATTTTAACAAAAAAAATAGAAAGGTTTAACAAACCAAAGGTAATGAGTTGAATTGACAGTTAAAAAAGAAAAAGAAGTTGAATAGAGTTGAGGAAACAAAAATAATCAACATCAGGAAACAGATAACAGCCATAGCAACACCCTTATTTTCTTCTTTGATAAGTGAAAAATTTGAGCTTAAATTTGACAAGCACTGATTTTGTTTCCATATGTTTCGCCTTAAATTTCCAATTCATGTGTTAGAAATGAACTAGAAAATGGAAAGAAATCACAACTGAAAAAACTAAACATGTTATGATAGAGGGCACAAAACAATACACAGAATTAGTTGATTTAATGATTTTTGGCTCCACTCATGCTATACTGCCAAACTAGCACATTTCAAAGTAGTCCTTCTTGTGACCATACCTCTTTAGTTTACCTCTCTCTCTGCCAAAGGATAAATTTTAATATTAATCTGATAGATTATTTCTTCCCTCCAATCAATCAAAATATTCCATCTTTATTCAAGAACTATCATGTCTGACTTGAAAACTACCAACACATAGCACCCATTGTCTCAATGAATCAATTATTTGGACCTACTTTTGCACTCCCAGTTTGAATGAATGATATTAATAAGAAATTCGATATCAATACTGCCTAGAAAAACCAAAATTGCAAATGAAATTTTTAATGAAAATGAAATGAGAAGACAGCAGTGGCCCATGCAGGTCCCAAACCTGCTACTACTTCTTGTTACTGGCACGGTGATCAATCCAGCTGAGCTAATAGGCGATGACACGTAATTGCTCACAAAATAGACCATTGAGAAAGAGATATTAATGCTGTATATATAGGATTTTTTTAAAACAAAAATAACACTTTTTGTAAATAAAAATTTGATTATATGTTAATTTTGAATATTAAAATTCCAAGAGAGGAAATAGAAATAGGCACATGAAGGACCACATATTTATGCGAGGAAAGGATAGGGGATAGAGTATAGAGTGGCATAGGAAGGTAGTGGGAGCCATGAAGGGTTATGAGCCCCGTTCAAGCTCTTCATGTGCAGCTTGCAAGTTATTGAAGAGAAGATGCGTACCCAATTGTATTTTTGCACCTTACTTTAGGTCTGATGAGTGTAAGAAGTTTGCCAAGGTGCACAAGGTATTTGGAGCCAGCAATGTGAGCAAGATCTTGATTGAAGTGTCGGAAGAGCAGAGAGAGGACACGGTGAATTCTCTGGCATATGAGGCCGAGGCAAGGCTGAGAGACCCCGTTTATGGATGCATTGGTGCCATAGCTCTCTTGCAAAGGAAGATGGTGGAGCTTCAGCATGATCTGGCCATTGCAAAGGATCGTCTTGCACGTTGTCACGCTGCTGCTACCGTTCTTCCTTCTCCTGATGTCTTGCATGCCCATGTTAGCTTGCCTCCATTCCCTGACTTTTGCACTTCTTCCAATGATTTCAATGATATCTTCTGCCACACTTCACCATCTCAATTATTGAGCCGCCATGAGACGGTTGATGATTTCAATCAAATCCCATATATATTCTAATGCTATGTATGCATGTTATGGTCCCCTTTTGAATGTAATTGTTGTTTTCAGTCTTTCTAATCAATCATCAGCAGCTGCGATCTGTTGTATGAGCTAATGAATAAGAACTCCAGGAGAATGAATTGGGCTGAATTGAAAACTCTCAACAAAAATGTATTATTGCTTTGTGTTGTTGATTGCTGAATTTCACGGTTCCTACGCTGCTATGGCAGCTAGCAACTGCTGGAAAATGATGGGTATCTTGGCTTTTTTAGGTTCACTTTTATAATAGCCTTTCTGTAATAGGATTTTCGTTGTTCCTGCTTTCTAACTTTGCAAAGTGACCATAAATTTTAGCTCCGAAATTCATGTTCTGATCAATCTATTCTCTACTAATTCCGATTAATTTCAGACAACTTTTGTTTGGTTTGGTTATAGTAAAGACACGATTTTCCAGGCTCTGAGAGGCATAGAAATTAAAAAAAGAAAAGAAAAAAAAAAAAGTCTTCAAAGTGTGAACTCAGATAACCTTCTAGTCTAGATGAATTGGTGATAGAGACCAGAGCAGCCAGAGCATTGATTGCCATTACCTACAGTAACGAGACACCATTCAGCACAACGAAAGCAACACTACCAATTGATTCTTGCTTATCTTCGAACGATCGCTGCCCAATACAGTGGGTCCAATTTTACTGTTTCAATGCAGCATGGAGCTCCCATTATGATTTTCCCCAAGGTCACGAACCCCACAAGTGGCCCTTGAGTTTATCATAATGGGAATCCAAAGAGTGACTCCAAGACCGAAAGTTTTTAGTCTCTTTGGGGGATGTACATTTCTGATAGTAACAGGATATGACTCAAGAAAATGCCTACCATTCAAACTACATGAATTATCTGTTACTCCCAATGAGTTGCGCCACATACTTCCAAAAGCACCGCAAAGCAAGTTTCAACTGGCCTCATTAATTGATATCACATCATTGAGGCCCAATGCATCTCATGTTTGCTTAACAATTTCGGAATAAATACATGATCATTCTCGAACACATGAAGCCTCGTGACTTCGAAGAGCATAGCATGTGCCTTTGTTGTTTTTCATGTGAATTCTCAAAACCTTGTTTCATGTAAGTGTCACTAAATGATAATGTCAATTCCTCCAGTAGGTTTAGCACTATTTAGTAGGTCTCGCTCTCACATGACATGAAATTCACCCAACAAATGAAGGGTGTTAACATTTATGCAAGAACATGAGAATAACATATGGATATATTGGACAGGCACAATGTTTTCACTGGCTGGGAGGAAATTCATTTCAGTGTCAGATCTGAGTATGGCCTTCACAAGGATTAAAGATGCCACAAACCACATCGTGCTTCTGCCACTGGTAAAGTAGTTCACCCATCAGGTCTCAGATTATGCCTTTTTCCCTATTCAAGAAAAGCAAAGCACAAATCTATGAGAAAGAAATTGAATAGTAAATTAATTTTAGATTTTAATTATGTTCTACAGCAATTCAACACACATGTTGTGTGTCTTTCTACCTATCTCTATCTATATATAAACTCGTGATTGAACTCAAAAATTGCCATGTAACAGTTTGTTCGTACATGAATATAAATGCTCAAGGACAAGGTACACGAGTCAATGCCAATCTGATGCGAGCTCCGATATGACATAATATGAACATATAAGGTCCAGTCGAAAGTGGGGAACACAGTAAAAAAAATTGATAAAAGAAACCGTTCAATGAAAAAGATCAAAACTCTCATACAGAGATTTTTCATTCAAACGAAGGACACCAAATCCCAAAAAGAAAAAGAATAAAGGCAGAAAATCATGCAGGACCCTGATATCATGGATACCACCATCATATACTGGCTTGCTAAGCAAAAAACACATCCAATGTACTGCGCCGTTATATTGTACATGGGTCTGTAGTAAAAAATAGTGTTGACAAGACATTGCACAGTAAACATAATGTTGCGTCAATATCCCGTACCGTTCCAAAGGTGACCAACATAACATTTGCACATTGCCACCAAAAATAATTAAATGCAGAATATATGAGACTCTGCACATAAAAAATAGAGTATGACCGCCACTTCCCCTTTTTCTTTACCAGAAAACAGTAGCATGTTTGGTTCAAATTGTTTTTTCTATAAACATTTGCTTATTTTGCAAAATCCATCTTAGAAAACCACCAAAAATAAGCTGAATCAAATACGCTAAAATAAATTAATTAAATGGTAGGTTATGAGTTACTGGGAAAGTTACATATAGCTTCCTAATCTAAAATAAATAAATAAATAGATTTTGACTTTGTAAACAAATTTAAGTGAATCTCTAGAGTTTTTAAAACTACCACAAATGGTTATATTTTAACAGTTCTCAGACGTTGTAAATGAATTTTATAGATTTAATTATGAAATTTTAGAGGCTCAATTATTCAAATGTAACTTTTTTAACATAAGAACTTAATAAAAGAAAGTATTGAATCATTTATGAAGAAGCGACGTGACCATACTGAATTGGGCTCTTATGTGTCATCCACCCAGTGTACACGTGAACTAGGCTTGGGCTCTGCGTGGTGACTAAAATGGGCTAACGTTTGAATACACATATTGATTGAACCCACGTGAATAAAATAAACAAGAATAAGAGGTGGTTAAAAAAATGTGAGGCAAAAATGATAAGAGAAATTTGAGATGGCGACAAGAGGTGAAGGGGAATTGGTTATCTTGTTAGATCACTCTCTAATGAAAAGAAAAGAAAAAGGTGATGAGTGATATTATGAGTCAGGAAGGAGAGAAAGAAGCGTGCCAAAACCGACAGTGGATACCGTGGGGCTTACCATATTTTGGTCTAATTTTTGTTTATGCCTCACTCTGTTGTGTTGTGTTGTGTTGGTTTAGTTGTTTTTCGAGTCATTGCCGTATGTGCCACGTACAGCAACGTCTCTCCCAAAATCAGTTGCATTATCACTTTTTTTATTTTCCACGTCCTTATCATTTTTTTGGGATAGCTAAGTTAGCCTAAATTTCATTGAATTTGGGCTTCCAATGGGCCCATTTCTGTGTTGGAAAGTTTTACTCACAGTCATACCCGACCTTGACATTCTCATAAAACCTACCCAAATAATAAAAAAAAAAAAGAGTCCTTGAAGCTATTCCTTTCTTGTTGACCAAAAACAAAACAACGAAAATGTAATTAGCAAAGAAATCAAATAAGAAAATAACACTTTCCTTGTCCTCCTCCAACTCCTTCGCGCGCGAAGCTTCGTCCCTCCAAAAGATCAGTCACGCTTTCATATTCGTTTAATGTGTTTGCATCAACGCCTTAACGCTCAGAAAGTGACTCTGATTTCTATTGCAAGACCAAAAACACAAAACAATAAATGATCATGTCGTTTTGCAATTCTTCTAATTCCTTCCTTTTTCGTTTCTTTCCTATCAACGGCTAATAAAATGGCACCTTGTTGGGCACAGTATAGAAAAAAAGTGATCATCCATGTCTCCTGTTATAATTAATTGAGTCGCTTCCAAAACAATGGGATGTAATGTAACAATAGTTTGTGTTGGTATAGTTTTTTTATCTAATAAACATTAAATTATTAATATCAATAATAAATATTTAAATTAATTAGCACTTTACATCATTAGTTCAATATAATTATTATTTTCAAAAAATCATTATTAATAATATAACAAAATTATCTCAATATTTTATACTAGTAGTTGACAATCATTAATATAATTTCGTACTAATAAAACTAAATTATGAATAGTAATTAATAATTATTTTTTATAAAAGATTAGTTTACTTTAATATTTCAAAAAAATCTTTTTAATTTTCTATTTCAAAATAAACTTTGGATATTTTTGATATCAGTGTACTCAGTTTATTGATTGTATGTTGATATAAATTTAAAGTAATTAATAACTATCATTACTACTCATAAGTTTTTATAACTTTAATAATAACTTATAATCAAAAACAGTTTTAATAACAATATTCAATATTAATCTCTATTGATGATAAATTTTGCGTGTTATTTATAATAATTATATTAAAATTATTGATTAACTAAGTAAATGTAATCATGGAAATATTTATATTAATTTTTAAAAATATTAAAAAATAAAAACAAACGAGAAAAAAAATCAAAATTCGGCTATCATGGGACTCGTTCTATATCTGTATACAAGAAACTCGTATAGTTCAGTAAGTAAAAGACAACTAGTTGAGGATGTTTTTTCTCAAATTGGCTTGTGTCTGAAAACTTTTGGAAACTTACCCCCGTTTTTCTCTTTTTCTTACGCAGAGCAAATCTCCCTTTCTTTGATACGAATTTAAAATATATATTAAAAACATCTAATTTGAAGAGGAGAGCATAAGAACATCAATTTTAATTGTGTGTTTTAATTTGATAAAAGTGAATATATTTTTATTACTTGTCATTCATATTTTTCAGAAGTTTAATATTTTAATTATCATTTTAATTTTTATCTGAGTGTCTTATCCCTGGATATTGAAGTACAATAACATGTGTGAAGACGACATAAAAAGAAAAAGAATAATTGGCACTTTCACAATATATATATATATATATATATATATATATATATATATATATATTTATTATTTATTATCCAATATTAACTATTTGTATTTACACAAACTCCTCTAACTCAAAGACGTTACGGACTTAGACAAAGAACCAAAACATAATACTTTGCAATGATCTTCAACATAAAATTCGATGCCACATATCCTAATTGAAAAGTTATGTTTTAATTCCTAAAAAACGTCACTTAATCACATAAAGTAATGTACACTAGCAAAAAATAGAAATTTTGTAAAAACAATTTATTTTAAATATGATTGTTATGTGAGAAAATTTAATATAAATTACTTTAAAAATGATATCACCTAACAAAATTTATTTTGAGTAAATTTTATTTAAAACGAGTTCTTAACTGAATTTATTTTTTATTCACGATAACTAATGCTATTATCCATCTTAGATTTAACAAGAAAAATGTAATATATATTTTTTATTGAAATCAAACATATAAAACTTCTATTTATTTTTTTCTTTACCAATCGATTAAATTTCTATTGGTTAAAATTTCATTGAAGGAACAAACAAACTAGTATACAAAGGGCACATTATCGTATCCACTGTGGCCACGGTGTCTCCAATGAAAAGGGACGTGTCAAACGCCCCACCTACATTGCTGTATAATCAACTACTAATATCATAACTATGATGTGCACTGCTCCTAATTCATACTTTACCTTCTTCTTTTTCCCTCTTCCCTTCCCTCTTTATCTTTTATCAAAAATCTTAATTAGAAAGCAAAGTAACATTTTCATTCACGCGCCGACTTTGCGAGTACACTTACTCACCCAACTTAACTATAAATAACGTAAGCCACCCGTGTCAGTTCTCACTTCATAATTGTCAGTGCTACTAATTGCAGAAGCAGCGAACAGTGTCAGATGATACTGTTTGTTCTGATGCGCCACCGTCGCAGCCCTCCTCCGTCACTCACCACCGCCGCGTTTACTCACTTCCTTTCCTACACCGTGGAATCAGATCGCCATGTCGAACCCAGATTCTCGATCATTCAGTTGGCATTATACGGAACTCGATGACAGAGACCTCGAGATCCGAGGAAGGACTTTGTTCTTCGTCATCGTACTCTTCTCCATTATCCTTCTCGTCACGGTTCTCTTCATCTACACGCGCTGGGTTTGCCGCTACCAAGGACGCCTTCCCACTACAGCGTTCTCCACCGCCTTTCACGCGCCGCCTCTCCCGCCATCGCAGGGACTGGACCCCGAAACCATCAAGAAACTGCCCATAATCCTCCACCACGCTCCGTCGGACCGCGACGAAAGCGCGTGGGACGAAACGGAGTGTTGTATCTGCCTCGGCGAGTTCAGAGACGGCGAGAAAGTGAAGGTTTTACCGGCGTGTGACCATTATTTCCATTGTGAATGTGTTGACAGGTGGCTCACTCTCTTCTCAAGTTGCCCTCTCTGCAGAGCTTCTCTCAAGGTTGAATCTTCTTTCCCAAATATTTTGATTCAGGAACCACCCCTCAGAATTGATTTCCAATTGTAGCTTTTTTTTTTCTTAGAACCAATCGGGTAAGACTGTTATTCCTGAAAAAAAAAAAATCTTGTAGTTAATCATCAGGTCTCAAAATTGAGACCCCGATTAAGTAAAACAGTATTTGTTTTCTTTTCTTAATCTTACTTTCCAGCATGGAAATAGAATCAGAACATTTTGGGTTTGTTTTGTGTTGTGTAAATCGTTGTAAAAAGAACTCGTGGCAGATGTCTGCTAATCATATATGGATATATACAATTTTAAATTTCATGCCACATTTTTGCAATTGCTCGAGTTGTATCGGAGAATATTGTTAGACAGTAGCACATGGCATAGATGGGAGAATGCGGAGTTTGTCTGTGATATTGTTAAATTATAGTATGTTCCCACGTTGGATGATAGACGACGGGGGATTCGGAAAGGTCATACAATTTTCATGAACGCCACTTGTTGGACAAAAGTCCTCAAAGACGTTGCTCTTCTGAGTCACCCCTGTGCTGGGTCTACTACTTCTAGGATATGTGGTCCTGCTGCTCACAAGGTTCTATAATTGGATGTGGCAAGGTTTTTTTAATTGGGATTGGGACCCCAAAAAGATCAATCAAAATCTATGCTTTTCTCTTAATTTAAGGAGTTCATTGCATTTGCATGTCACCTTAATGTTTTTCTTTGGTATTAAGTAAGAATATGGAGTTCCATATTACGATCAGAGTGTGTAAACTTTTTGTTTAGAAATTTTGTGCATCAATGTTGTAATTAATTAGTTGGGTTATGCTGTGTCGAATAGCTAATTAAGTTGGAGGACACCTCGTCTCTTTCTCTTATCTGTCGATTTCGCACACCTTTTTCTGTTTGAAAGCAATGGAACATGGCCATAGGGACAATAATGTCCTGCGAGAAAATTAATCTGCCAACTTGCATGATATTCCTTAGATAAACCAGCAGCGTTCGTTGCGGAAATTTGCCTGATAGGTGATCTGTACATGTAAACTTTCTGTTTTAATAAAACAGTGACTGTATATAGACATTTAGATCATATCATATTATGATATATTAGGATTTGGTGAAGATTTATTTTGTTTATGGAAAAATGAAACTGCACATGTGAGTGAATGATTGATGAGTGACCAGACTACTGAGTACTGACTACCTAAACAAAATCTGAAGTTGTGGGGTGGTGCTGCATCATGTGATAGTTCCGTGAAGCAACTACTAACTAGATTGTTCACCTGATCCACTTGGTGTAGTCTTTTCAATGGAATGCAATCAGAAAAATGTAAAGGCATATTTGACTTGTGCATGTGTACTTTGCAGTTGTGTGTATATTGACTGGAAACCGAAAGGAAGGCATTATCCAATTGAAACAGGAAAAAAAAAAAGCAACAGCTTTAATTTTGTAGAAAAAGAGTTTCTTTTTTCTTTCTTTTAGATTACGACTATTTAAGGATAATTGTTTGATTGTGTTATTTTTATAAGTATTTAGTGAATTGAAGAACGACTTATATTAAATCAATGATAAATAGATTTTTATTTTCAAGATAAACTTTTTAAAACATAATTTCTTTGGTGCATAAGGATATTGAGTTGTTGTTAACGACAATATGCAGAGTAGTATTACAATTACTATTAGCTAGAAACTAATAAAAAGGACAAAGGATTTCCATGACAATTGTCTATCTAATGGCAAATCAGCCAGAATTTTTTTTATCTTTCTCACTCTGTTTAACTTCCTTTTGTTAAATTAATGGCATGCATAATTTATTTTACACTTTTTGGTTGTGAAAGGAGCGTGGTAAGGATATTTGAGTTCCTAAATTATGCTATGCATTGACCTTTATAAAAGATAACAGAAAGTAATAGACATGTCACAGTGTGAACGTGCGTGTCATGCAGTTAGTAAACACAGCATATAGTGGGTCAAAATACAGTTCTAAAGGAGCGTAATTATATTGACTTTAATAGGTTGTTACGCATGCTATGTTGAAGTATATGTACCTAAGCTTGTGAAAAACTGCACCGCTCAATAAATCACTTGTGTTATTATTTTGACAATTGTAAACAAAGATGTGTGTGCCCTCAAGAGTGAGCTAAAAAAAATATCATGTATTTGTTTTCTTTTACAATTATATATTAGGTGTCCGGTATTTTTGTTTCCATTTCAACAAATAATACTGTGATGGAGAAGAGAAACAAAAACAAATACAAGAAGTAACCTTCTATAAAAGCATAGAAAAGTTAGGAAAAGTGCGAAAATATAAGGCTAGACACAAAATACAAATTTGTGCTTGGTTATATTTATCTATACTAGTTAACATCTGGCTAGATTTTTCAACTTGGATTGACTCAAATTTAGGTGAGTTGAATTTCTTTTTGTCTTTTGAGGATTACAGGCTAAATGAGTCACTTAATTTTTTAAAATATAAAAAAAAAACACTATCATCAAAATATTTTTTTATATAAGAAATTTATTAAAAAATAACCACTATAAACGAATACACAACTATAGAAGTGTTTTACTCTATTCAGACGTCATTTTGTGTTTATATTAATGTTTGGTAAGAGTTTTAGATTTAATCTCTTACCCATAACATTACAAAATTCGTTAGTATGTCACTATTGTTATTATAAATAATTAAAAATCTTCTAGCAACGTTCTAAAAATATATTGTAGAGGATCCCATAATTTATTATTCTTTTGTAAAATTCAATTGGGTTTAGTTTTGTCTAGAGAATAACAAGATGCAACGCATAATTAAAAAGATAGTTACTTGCCTTTGCCTTAACTGGGCCTATTATAAAACACAATGAACTGGGCCATTTATTTGGTTTGAGCGGATCCACAAATAAAGCCCAATATTGCTAGGGTTTCTGGTGCGCTATAAATTCCTCAAACGTAGATCTCATAAGTTCCCAATCCCCGTTATAAACAAGCAGCTAAGTCTGTGCATTTTGCCTAGGGTTTAACTTTTGAGCTTCGTTTGGTGATCACTATGAGAGCCAAGGTAATGTACTTTTATTTCGTTTTGTTCTTTCCTTACTGTGTTGTCATTGCTCGATTTTGTTGTGATTGAGAATGTGTATTTTCGATTTGTTCTTTTCATATTGAGTTGTCATTGCCCGATTTTTGTTCTGACTGAGAGTATGAATTTGTACAGTGGAAGAAGAAGCGTATGAGAAGATTGAAGAGGAAGCGCCGAAAGATGAGGCAGAGATCCAAGTAGTGTGCGCGTCTTCCCAGCAACTGTTGCTCCTAGTTTTGTTCATCTTCGCGCTGTTTTTTCTTTCTAAATCAAATGTCATGATACATTTTTATTGGTTTCTTTCGCTCCCTTAGCTTAAGAAGACACTCTTCCCGCGGATTATTTAGTTTTAATATTAGAAGCCCATGGTTTTCTTGTGCCTATTTTTTTTATTGACGTTTTAGGTTTTAGAAATTTTGCGCAGCCCGTTATCATTTTTGCGAATTATTTAATGCGTGCAACTTTTTGTCTGTTTATTTAAGTCTGTCAGAGTTCAGGATGAATAAATAATCTGTTTCGTGATAAAATTATTTATCCTTGAAGATATGAATAGTTGAATTCGTCTAAGTTAATATTGATGGTTTGGACCTTGGGTTTCTGCGGCGCCATTTTCGTGCATTGATTACGTTTTATGTTATTGTGGTTGATGTGTTTACTGCATCATGTGGAAGTCCTATATGTTTAGATTGGTGAAGGTGAATGAATTGGAATGGATGGAAATGAAAATGAATGATCTCTAACGGAATAGACTAAAAATCATTTCATTGATTGTGTAGTCTTGTTATGTCTGACAGTAGTATTAGATACGAGATCTATTGTTGATTTGTTTGTGTGTCAATTGTGTATAATTTGTCTTTAGTCTCAGACTGATACTAGGTGCCCTATCATTTAGATGGGAAAGGTAATTTAGTCAAGTTGTCATATGGTATGGTCTTGTCAACTTGGTTTATGTTTCGAAGATGGAAAATCATAGTTGACACTCTCACCCAACAAACATTCATTATACAACCCAATTTTAATAATAAATCTTTTAAATTTATATATTTATTATTATTATTTTATTATATTGAATTGTAGATTGGATGGATGAAATGAATAACGGTATCAAAATTTTTGCATTTGAATATAAACTTTGGTTTTGTTATTGATGAACAATTTATTGAATTACATGTCATGGCACACGAATGCTGTAGTATAACATTTTGAATGGGATATTTGTGTTTGTTTAGCCTTGAATTCATAAGCATTTTACGTTGCGCACCTTTCACTGAGCATTTATAGTCATAACATCTATTACAAAAACAATTTATAGATCATTTGAAGTGTTAGTCCGTTTTGAGGTTGAAGTTTTCACTCGTGACTGGGAAATAAAACTTGTCAATGAATGGTATAGTTGTAGCAGGCATGAGCCTAACCACTTTGGAATTTTGTTGAATGGTAAGTGCAAGTTGTTATACATACTATTGCACGTAAGTGCAAGTTATACATTTTATACCATTTAACATTTGCCTTTGTTTTGATGAGAGAATTTATAATGTCGAATTAGAATTATAATTGCTTTCCATACATTTATTTTATTAAAATATTTAGTTTGGTTAAAATGATTTTTAATTTCTTGCATATTAAATTTTATAATGACATTAAAAAAAAATCCTTAATCTCTTTTCTGTGGTTACAAGAATATAAGATGTGTAATCTCGCAAGGCAAACTTAAATGTGGTTGTAGCCAATTACGTTAACAATACGATCCATTTTTGGTATTTGTACGATCATGTGTGGTTTGGGGTAATTAGGGAAGGAGAGAGTTTATAGTGTCTATCTAACTATACATCCGTTTGACTATCTTTGATCTTATTTGTTGTAACAAATAAATATAACGAGTTTTTTCACATATTGTCATAATCTTGATGTGGCGCAGCAAGCGAACTATTTGATGCAGGCCAAATGAACATGGCAAATGAGCAACAAAAACTATCTCTTTAAATTTGCGTTGTTTCTTGCACAGTAGAATTAAAATAAGCCTTTTATTGGGACAATAGTAAAAGAATTAAGATTTTTTTATTTAAAATAAACTAAAAAAGCGTTAAAAATGAATAAAAAACACATTCTATGCATCTCAACATAAAATTTTATCTTTTAATTTGTGATGAATATTCTAGGAACATTGTTATACCATTATTAAAATTGTCCATTGCTCATTTGGTGTTGAAAGCATTCTTTGCCTCTTTCTTGCACTCGCTTGTGTTTGTCTTTTTGTTTTTAATTTTTATTATTTCTTATTTTTCGGCTCTTTAACGTGGTCTGCGTTTATTGTTAAGTTGCCCATTTTTTACAGTTAGAAATATTATTACTACTTGAAACCGTATGGCTTTTTTACTAAGCACGTCCCCACAAATCTAGTTTTTTCTTACACACTCATGTAAAATGTCAAATCATTTGACAAAAAAAGGGGGGAAAATTTGTATAAAGAGTTTCATTTTCATTGAACGAAGTACAAGAAATCATGTGAGAAAGTAAATATTATATATTTTTTACATTTTCTAGTAATTATTAGGACAGTGGAAGACAAACTTACTGATATTAAATGAATAGCTGCTACTGCTATTAGAAAAAAAGTTGGTTAGCTAAAAAGCCAAGTAAACTCAGGTCAGCAATATTCCAGTAACATGAACCATTCATTCACATTACATCGTGACATGATCTATAAATTACTATTAGAACAATGTAATCTACAAAAATATTCTTAGATCAGCTTAAAAGAAATACAATCAAGATGCAATATGGCTGAACATAGGAAGTCCGAAACACTAAAAAAATTCATATACATGGACAAAACATAGCTTATCAACTTTCGATTTCCTTTTTAGCTGGGGAATTCAAGAAATCTTTCATGTATAACATCTTTTTAATTATTTTTCAAGAAACATTAAATATTTTTTTCTGTAACTAATACAAATTTTCAGTATTGGCCTCATTAATTAACAAAGGAAATATCTGGTGGTGTTATACAGGAGATGAAAACTACTTGAGTGGATGTTCCAATATTTGCTGAATCCATCGATCACATCTAATTCTTAAAGTCAAACGTGATGTGATTTAACGCTAACATTTGTCTGCCAATAACTAACTAGCAATTCAATAATCACTAGCTTTCCTCTGTTCTCTTCCTTCTTACTCACCCACTCCGCCCCCTGATTGCATGATAGGTAAATAAATCAATTTGCCTTTTTTCTATTTCTGAAGCACCAAGAGGCCATACCCTGGTTTTGATCTCTTTACTTAACCTTTTACACATACTTTACTTTGACTTCTCACGCTTCAAATTGCTTTAATTGGTGGCATAGAACTAATATTTCATGATTTCATCTTTTCCCAATGTAGAAGCTTATATATCTTATAGGTATATAAATATTGAAAAATAAAGCAAATAATTGCCCCCCATTGAAATGACTCTCAGGGGCAAAAGAAAATGATTTTGCAATAAATAATTTAATTACTGTAGACAGTGAGAAGGCAAGAAGAATCTCTGCCTCTTACTTCTAGTGGGACAATTAGATGTCATGGATGATGAAGCAATTTTGGTGACAGCAGATTTGAGGGACTGTTTGAGAGTGGTGAGGCAAACACCCTCTTCACTATCCTTTGAACAAAGCACCAATATGCTTTTGATCCTGCCACCCACACTGGCTATATCAGCTTTAACTGCTGTGAGTCTCAAGCCTTTGAGGACTTGGATGAGTTCAGGGAACAGTTCCGGTCGATCATCGCAGCAAACAGAAGCTTTGATCACAATATTGTCCTTCAATTTGTTTACTTTAGTGCAGCTTTCATCTTGAACATGGTCACAGTCAATTGACACTTCATCAATTTCAGTTGGAACTGTGAAAGCTCTGCTAACATCCATGGCTTTTCTCTTTAGATCTTTGACATGGTCTATCACACTCCCTAGTAAAGCTGCTTTGTCCATCTGCAGTTACACGAATGTTAATATTAGCATGTTTGGTCACACATGTTTCCCTCTACACAAGTAAGATTTGTTCATATTCTCTTGTTGAGATGAGGAAGTGGAATTGAAATCCTTATATAACTTCGCTAAGCATACCATGTCACATCACTTCCATAATCCATTCATTATCTGGTGTGATGCCAGGGACAAAATCCAAGTTATTCTCTTCTTGTTCATATTTCGTAGTACTACTAAGTATGGCACTCATGAAAACTGAAAAAGAGACGCATGCACTTAATTGGTTTACCTTATCAGACTTGGGAATAAGTTTTCTGAGAGTTGCAAGCTGTGCATTGATCCTGTCTCTGCGCCTTTTCTCTGCTTGTCTGTGACTCTTGGAAGCACTTATTGCTCTCTCTTCTGCAGCCCCTTCAATGGGAAGTGGCCATGAGTGGAACTCACCAAATTGAAGAGAGGCAGAGTCCGTGACATGAGGAAGTATTTGTGTAGGTACTGCGAAGGAAGAAGAATGATCACTGCATTGAGCCCAGCTGGTGCCCATGTGCCAGCCAGAATCATAGTAATTTTCCATAGTCACAATGGAAACCATTCTAAAGTTTCTTCCATGATTTCTGAGCCTTTTATCTCCCATCGTAGTTACTGTTTGCTGCACTAATAATGGCCGATCTTCTTATCTTGATGGTGACTGCTGTGATAAGCAATACCCTTTCATTGGTCAAAATGATAATCGATTTTGGTTGTACCTGTCAGTCACTTCACCAAGAAAATTTTTCCCTCCACTAAATCTAACGAACTTGGACTTTACAAGGAGGGAAAAATGAAGAGTAAAAGAATAAGACACAGATGATCTGACCTATTAAGCTAACATTATTTCGTATTTGAATGACAAATGAAATGGTATGTATGGGTAGTATCTGGCAAATAGGCTTGGGAAACACTGTTATGTAGTCAGTAGTTGATGTAGTGGATGATGATCAGTGAATCATTGTCTTATTTTTATTAGACCACAAAGTGTTTAATCTGATCTAGTTATAATTATACCTACTTGGTCTCCCTTGGTGTTTAGCTTAAATCCTACCCAATAAGAACTCATGTTGCTTAACTTATCTTCAACTTTCGTGCCCAAGATAACCACTTCAGTTTAATTCTTTTTCATATAAAATAGATGTGGATATGTACTTAAACAATAGAAGCATCATTCGTATTTTCGTAACATTTACCAAGATGTTACCTGAAATAAAGTCAGTCACCATTGTACAATAGAAAAAAGTCACACATCAACCTTCATCAGTTGTTTAAATATGTACTTTTTATTGGTGAATCGTTTAATAAAGTAAAAAAGTAGGCACTGAAGGTTACACGAAAGTGCTAGCTCGGCTTGTGATGGTGGATCCCATTCATCAAAGATACTGCAAGATCTTCCGCATTGAATTATCAATTTGGTGAAATTAAGCTTTCAAGCTTTCTTTCACCCATGTCCCTGTACAATTATTCCAACCAAAGTTTTAGTCCCTGTCATGATAGCCAAGATGAAAAAGGTTACGAAAGAAAATAAGCACACAAATAATAGTATGACAAAGTAAAAAAAAAGCCCAAGATTTGCTCAATCATAAATTGGACAAACGTATGATGTAACCTCATTAGTAAACGATTTGCTCTTGAAGTTGAAGACATTTGGTGGGTCCATTTTACCAATTTTATGCTATGCAAGTAACTTGCCTAGTCCAGCCGTGGATCCACCCTAAGACAAGATTTAGTTACCTTCATGTATCTTGATTGGAAGTTCAAAGTTGAAAGCATAGGACTCAGTAAAAGAAGGCTAGTTTTATACGCTTTGATTGGAAAGGTTTGCTTAGTGTGTCTGCTAGTGAACAAAGAAAGCTCAATTACTTGCATGTAGGGCCTAATACACACTCACAATTGCAACTCATAATAAAGAGTGACACGACTTCTGATCAACCACTCACTCTGTTATACAACACAACTTGTGTGTGTGTGGCTTCTTATGCTTCCGTATTTTCTTCTTTCACTTCTTTTTCATCATTTTTTTTTCCCTTCTCTATCTGTCTCATCAAAGGCTTTCTGGGTCCCATAATCTCAGAACATATCTGCAATATATCTCACAATAATCACATACACACAGCGTCGGCAAGTGAAGTGTCACGATAAAAATAAACCAAAAGGGTCAAAGGGAACATATAGACAACACGTCTCTTGAAATTGTAATATGTCAAGAAATGAAGCATATGCGTTTAATTAAGTAAGCTTATGTTGGAAGATCATCCTTGTCTCTTTTCTTTGGTTTCGGAAGACTCGGATTCAAATTAGTGAGAAGAGAAAATAATGTAGGATCGGTCGGATCCAATGTTCCCTTCTTCTTCTTGTTGGCTGTGGTGCTGGTACTTATCCACTAAGGATGGTAAGAAAATCTTCAAATCAATGAAGCCTGTAACTAGTACACTGCAAGAATAAAGGAGCATTGTATTTGAATCAAATTTGGAAAGAAAAAAGATGGCAGACCCAATCTTTTGTTTGCAACCATAAATTGAGGCCACTTTGTTTTGTGCGTCACACAAGGTACATTTGCTGTATTATTGAGTGAGCTTTGCAGCTGATAAAAGTGTAAATCATTACATGATTGAATCGAAAATAATCTTCAACTTTTTTTTTAAAAGAATTTAAATAATTGAAAGTAGAAGAATGGCGTTGATTTGTATTTTACTGGATCAAAATTTCCATTGTTATAAATCTTAGAAGAAAATAAAAAGATGTATCAAAATGTTTAATGTACTATGATTTAATCATACCCGTCATTTCCCTCTGTACGAAATAAACATTTTGATTGTGGTGCACAGTACCATACCCACCATCCCTTACACATGATAAACAACCTAATTCCACAACAGTACCAGCTATTTGTTGCACATTACTCAAAATTTACCAATTGAATTCAACTTGCAATCCCCCATATCTTATCTTGTGCTACACTCATTGTAAAACGTAAACGAAAACGATACTTTGAGAACCGGAAAACAAACATCCGTTCGACAGTGGGGGCGAAAAAGAATTTAATTAAAAATAAGAGTTTGATTAGTAAAATTGTAGGGGGTCAGAGATGTAATATTGTAAAAATGGGGATGTTATGGTAAAGAGTGAAATATATGTTTGAAGAAGGTACAATATTTTTCGCTTGACTCATTCTCGCTTGACCTCGCTGGACTTCCTCTTGCTTGACTTAGGGTAAATTTTCGGTTGTCTTCTCCGTCTCGCTCTTCACGGTGCTCGACTTCCTGTCGCTTGTCTTCCTCCGTGTCATTGGAGCTGAACATCACTGTCAGTCGCTTGAGCGACCCTGCGGTGAGTGTTCATTTAACAATATTTGCTTGATTTTGTGTGTATTTTTTATTGGGTTTCCATTGTTGTTTGTTGTTCTGCAACTTATCTTTGATTGGGTTTGTAATGAAGGTGTTTTTCACGGTTTAGGGTTAATTGAGTTGTGATGCTATATTAATGTCGAACAAGTGTTTGATGAAATGCTATAATGAAGAATTGTATTTGCGCATTCTTGCTTTGTTTTCTGTTTATGTTTGATTGGGTTTGTAATGAAAGTATTCTGTAGGGTTTAGGGTTAATTGAGTTGTGATGCTATATTAATGTCAAACTTTTAATAGCGGTTATTTCTAGGACCGCTCTCTTTAGTAGGTTTAGATAGCGGTTCTGGGAACCGCTATCTAAAGTCCCAATTTAAAAATTAATTATTTAAATTTGAAATGGCAACGGAACCACGTTGACGATGTTGCCAGGAAAATTGTACAATGCGGTGGTGAGTGAGTTCGACTGACAAGTTGGGCAAGTTCACAACCGCGTAAGGAAAATCGAGGTCCAGGTCGAGGAAGAAATAAGAAAGTCCTGTGCTAAAAAAATGAAAATCGGAGAAGGAAGAGAGATGGGCAAAGGAGTGAATTATTTAATAATAAAAATATTGTACATTTAATATCTTTTTATTCAATAATACTGTATATTTATTATTTTTTTATTGGGTAATGGAACGGAAATTTAAAATGGTTGTAAAAATAGGAGGACTCAAACCTAAATATGTGTCGTCAACCTACACTCTAGGTTTACGGAAGAAGTAATAAAGTATTTTAAAAAGGTTTAAACTCAGCACTATTTCCAATACAATAAACATGTTGGTTAGCGACAATTTTATAAATGGGAGAAAGTCAATTATTATTATTATATTATTTTCAATTTAAAATATTTTAAGATATTAGGATATTGATTTTTTCACCTGTAATTTAAAATCTTTAAAATATTAGAATATCGATTTTTTTAGTATTCTATTTTTTTCATTTCGGCTCAACCTAAAATTTCGATTATCACTTAATTTCCGATGACCAGAACCTGTGAATAAAACTGGGGCAATAGAATTAGCAATGTTGAATCAGTAGAATCCAGTAGAAGAGCAAAGAAGAATTTGTTTGGGTTGTGTAAAAAAGTTTCTGAAGACGAAGCATATAAAGGGAAAATCTGAAATATAAAATGTGCATAATGTGTATGCATGTGTAAGTAATGAATTATAATGTGTACATGAGTGGTTGTAGTGAGCAAATAACGAATGTGATAAGTACCTAACAATTTATGAGCATTAATACATGATTACAGAGTTTAACGAGTATACTGTTACTCTATTTTTTTCTAGTATTTATACAAAAAAAATGATTTTTTTAATAAAAATAAATTTATTGATCTTAATAAAATAGTTATATTTTTTTTAGTTTATCCTTTCTCTATTATTTTTACTTTATAATAAATGTAAATTAATTATAAATATAATTTTAAAATAATTACTCTTGTTGTCTTGAATTTTAAAGGTAACAAATAATATAAACATTTGAAAAAAATATGACGAGCAACAAGTAATAATTAATATGTGTAAATTAGTATTATTTTTTATTTTATGTTCAACACTAAAAGTATGCATTTTAGAGTAAATTTATATAGTTAATTATTATTAAAGGAAATAAAATATTTTACCTTTCTAAATTTTACTCTTTGTATAAATTGACACTTGAGATTTTAATTTATTCTAATTGATGTTCAGGTAACTACAAATTAATTCTAATTTAATCTCAGAACATTCTTAAAATGGATCTCTTTTATTAATAGGTTTCTTATATTAAATTGGGTTAAATTCTTAATCAATAACTTACTTTAAATCCTAGTCAATTATTAGTTTTATTTTTGTAAAACAGGTTTCCTTCGATAAAATATAATAAAGTTAGAACCAAATTACTCAATATTTATACAGTTTGTTTATTTATTTCGGTCTTTATTTTTTTCATTATTTTCTTTTTAAAATTCATATTTTTGTTATATCATAATACGTGGATAACTTTATTTTGTATCATATATTTATTGTTCTCGGAAGTTGGGATAACTTTATTTTCACATGTTGTGTTATTATGTCTAGATTTCTCCCACTATATGTCGTTCTAAAGAAAATCAAGCAAAGAAATTATTACATTTAAAAAAGAAAAAAAAAAAACCATTCTTGAAGTTATACCTTTAAAATTATGTATCAAATACCTGTTTATTAAATAAATTAATAAAAACTCATTGTTTTGAATGTTAAAATTGAGGGCAATGGACAATTCATCTAGTTGCGTAAATAATTTCATTTAACTTTTAATTGGAATAACCTGTATGAAGTATAAAAGCTCTAATCTACTTCACATTTATAGTACACCACGCACAAAAATAATCATAGTAATGATAATTTGTCTCCTAGCTTATAAAACTGCGAATCGAAAAGAAACAACAGCATCAATAAAAAAGATAAAATGACGAGGTATAATGTTGAGCATTATATATTATTTTCTACATACACCCTGAATTAAATCTGTCTCCTAGCTTATAAAATAATAATAATAATGATAACAATAATTAAATTAAGAAAAAAAAAAGGATTTCAGCACCTAAAAAGTGAAAAAATGATCATCAACAAACAGCATCAGTTCATGAAGTTTGAAGCAGCTGAAGCTTGTCTAAAGATATAAATCAGCTATATACTTTTATGGTGAAATCTTAAACACTCAATACTCATTGAAATGAATTGCACCAACTTTCCACACAATGTAAGTTGTTGCAAACATGATTGAGCTGATTAAAACAAATGACAAGACAATGAAAAAGAGATCAGAACCTCCAGGAAATTGGAAAGTGAAGCCTGTTGACAACCCTCGTTTGCTATCATCAAACAAATTAGTTGGGGCCTCTGGAAGTCCAGATTTTCTCTTCCCTTTGTCACTCTGTTTTAAAGCCTCTAACACCCTGCTGTTCATGTCTGCTTTAGATGGTTTGGATTGTGTGTCTCGGCTGATGGCTCGAGCCGCCTTTAACCTCTCTCTTGCTGTAAGGGAAGGTCGTTTGGTTGCAGATTGTGACTTAGGAGATCCTGCTGCTGATCTTTGCTCTTGATTAATTGAACCATTGGAAGCCTCTAATGTTTGAGATACTGACTCAGGATCAACTTTAGCTTGCAATTGGAAATTTTCATCTGGGGGATTCAAGGATGGTAACTGATCATTGGTTGGTGAATTTTCAGCATTGTCAAAGTCCTCCTTACTACTGTTGTTGTCTGCTGCAAGCTGGTCACTATCCGCCACTGAAAAACAATGACCAAATCTTCTTTCCTTAACAAGCTTTCTCGGTCTGGATACTACCAAGAAGGGTGAAAACTGAGTGGCCTTTGGTAAAGAAGCTCCAACAGAATATCTTGACGTATCATGATACTTGGTTTCCAACTTCTAATGGAGAATGAAAGATTTTTGTAAGAGATGAGAAAAATGAGAGTCAATAATAACATGATTGAATCATACTAAAGTGACCAATGATAAAGGCAATAATTGTTAATAGTTATTTAAACGTAAGTCCAGCCTTATTCTTCTAAAGAATTATCTCAAGTTGATTGCTCTGGTGCTTTGTTTCAGAGGGCTTTGTCATGTGGTTACTTCATTCCTATTTGCACAGTATTGCTTTATTTGCATGTTATTCATCTATCTTTGTCTACAATAGAGTTTTTGACAAGATATCCTTAAATCATACCAAAGAATCACACTCTACTCTAGTAGAAGTGCTTGAAATAAAAATGTCGTGTAACCATTATATTTGAGTAATGACAAACAGCTCATAATTTAATCAGTTATGGAAAAAAAGGCACCAGAACCCTATAAGACAAAGGGGTTCCAAAGCAGTGACATAATGAAACAAAAGTGTTGTATTACCATTATATTTGAGTAATGAAGATACACATAGCTCACAATTTCATTAGTTAAGAAAAAGAGGCACCAAAACCCTTTAAAGACAAAGGGGTTCCAAAGTAGTCACCGAGTGTATATATTCCAGAACCGTGACATAAAGCAATACTCTGAAACAATAGCTATCACAAGAAGTTCATCTTACGAAAACTTGCTATTCTATAGAACAAATACAAAACTCAATCTTATAAGACTCACTTCTAAAGTGAAAAACGCGTCACCTATATTCATTATTTCGGTCTTATCTTGAGTTTTTTTTTTCTTATACACTCAAACACACTTAGACTTTGTGTGTGGATAATAAGATGGATGCCCCATATTAGATCTAAGACTTTGCTACCATCTGAATATTTGAATTTCGCCTTATCTCTCACTTAGATCTTTCCCAATATCTACATCTTACGGCCACCTTCAACAATCAATCTACATTCCTTACACAACATTTCTCACCATAGATTAAATTCATAACTTTTCTCGAGGCTGTTTAACTGAGTGCTGGCAACAATAATTCCTTGAATTGCATATACTATATTCAAAATTAAAAATTTCCCCAATTGACACTTTTTTCTCCAGGACATCACAGAACTTTATGTATTAAGGTAATCCCATTCAAACATGTTTCAACTCTAAAGTTCAAATGAATACATTTCACTAATATGAGTACCCCCCCACTTAACGCATATGTTGAAACCTTTGTCAGAAACAAAATTGAGAGATGCCCAGAAGGCCAGAAAGGGTTGTAAAACACTCCTCAGATAATTCGAAACCAGAAGCAAACATCTTATTTGAGAAACCATGAATACAGCAATACTCCAAAGTAGAGTGAAGGATGAAGTATGAGAACAGGAAACACTTACTGTTGAGCTGAAGCTCACGATGGAGTTTAAAGATATGGCCATCTTCTTAGTGTCTTTCAAATCCCAACCATGGATAGCCACAAAGAGTGGCCTTCCTCTTACCACTAGATTGTTTGTTTATTCGGGACTGAAATTGCTGTTGACAAACGCCACATAGCGCGTGACAACACGCGTTGTTTCTATTCTAATAAAAGAAAATGATAAATTACACTATTTTTATCTATGGATTGATAGAACTTCACCCTATATTTTTATTCTACACAAACACAAGCATTTTTCAATTTATTACAAAAAATTATCCTGGGTTAACTGACCTTTCAAAAAAAAATCTTTATAAGTGAAAACTTTGTTATTCTATCTGAATTGAAGTATTTATCTAGAAATCTTTATACTTTGATTAATTTTCAAATAGATTTTTATAATTTAATTCTGATCAATAATGTTGTTATATTTCTAATGGTCGTAATATTTATTAGCTTTTTTAAATAGAGTCATATAGTTTATTAAAAGTTATCATTATTAATGAGTAAAGATATCTGAAATTTGAAAACTGTTAATGATTGTCTTGGAAAATTCACTAAGAACACAAACAAAGTATTCAATAAAAAGGAAAAAAGTATTATCAAAATCAAAGTTTAATGATTTTGCACTGTTATGGTAATTTTTTATCTAGTCAATTAGATTTTTAATGTAATTACAAGAAAAAAAAACTATAGTATGGTTGATTTGCTCTTGAATAATATAAAATTGATTTATACAGTTAGTGTATGGTCCATTTCTATATCAAATTTTGTTTGAATTAATAATTTACAGCGGAAAGTGAAAGAGTGCTCATCAACTTTAAAATTTTAATTGAACCGATTAAAAGAATTGATTTTTTAATTTTAATAACATTTGACCTAAACCAATTAAATGTGATAGTAATTAATTCAAGTATCAAATTTTCATTTTAAAAATTCAATAAAATCCAACTAAATTAATGTTAATTTTTTTTAATTACTATGTATGTAGTTTTATGGTAGAGTTATATTTTTTATAATTTGCTATTATTAAGTTGATGTTACCCAATTATGTTTAATATGCTAGTTGCATCTTTTAACTAAATAACATTGTGTAACTCTTAACAAAGTTGTGTATTTATTTTCCTTTTTTTTCATTTTTTTTGTGCATGTTTACATACCTTGGGAAATAATTGATTCTAATTAATTACTCTTAATCATACTAATTTAGTTTAGGTTGAACGAAACAATATAAAAAATCTAAACTAATAAAAAATATTTAATTTATATTTTTCATTATTTTAAAATATAATTTAAACCAGTCCCATAAACTTTTTTTATCTAATAAATTTGTTTGTTTACTTGAAATGTAGCTTACATTGGATAAGATAATATAAGAAAAAAAGTTAAGACTGTATGCCAATTGCATCTAACCTATAAACTTTGTTCGGCTGGTCCAAAAAAAACAAAAAACCTATAAACCTACCAAACCCAACTCAATTACATTCTTCTGAGTTGGTTAAGTCAGTAAGATGTATTACATTCAATTAGAATTATGAATTTAAAACATTATACATCTAACTATATAATAAATATAAAATATATTAAAAAATATTATTTTGTCTACTATTTTTATCATGAAATTTTTATCATGAAATTTTTATTTTATTTTATCAGTTATATACATTCACACACACACACACACACACATACATATATATATATATATATATATATATATATATATATATATATATATATATATATCTTTTTATAATAATAATTATTATTATTAAAACATTCAAAATAAACAGTTTAAACTAATCAATCGAGTAATCCAACTCAATTGCTAAAATTACTTACCCCCTTAAATTTTTTTTACTATTCTCAATATTTTAACATAATGTGTAAACTGAATTAAGTGACGTGTTTTAAATGTGAAGGATAGTTAAATAACTCATTTTTAATTAATTTAAAATTTTTCAATAAATTTCTCAGTTTATTCTTTTTGGAAGGTTCTTAGCTCTTACGTATCTTAAGATCCTTTTATAGATTCGCACAGTTTAGTTAATAGCTAATTGCGAGTACATGTGATTAATCCAGAAGTTAACCAATTGATTAGACGCCTTACACTTATACATTAGGATCACGGTTCATATAAGCGAATCCTTAAAAAATTAACAACGAAACGTATATAATGCCCACAGAATACCATATTTCCTGACGCCATCCCCTAATATATAAACTAGTACTATGCATGAAAGACTTGCAATCATAAGTTTTATGCCCTAAAATTTGACGGGTACAAGGGATCAAAAGCAGAAATAGTTCTATAGATAATGTCAAGAATTTAAAAACAGTACCATAAATGTGCATGATTTCAAAACCAAGAACAAACCTGAAATCAATAGGGAATAAAATAAGCATTTTAAACAAGACAACATGCACACGACAACAGCATGCAAACATGCTTTCATCAGGTAGCTTCCACCACAAAGGAAAAGTGGAATAAATCTACGCCATGAAAAACATGGGCTGGAGTCAAAGTCGGTCTATTTCGTATTATACTTTGGACCATCATTTAATACAAGAAAAATGGCTACATACAGAAAATCCTCGGCTAGCTCGTAATAGCAGCCCAAAAAATGCCTCAACTAAAAAAAATATTACAAAAATATGACACAAACCCCCCAACAGAAACACGAAATTATTTTCTCTTGAACCTCCTCCATTAGAAGCAAGGAAAGAATACTGCATTAAAATCCCAGAAGATATTTAAAAACATCCAAGCTGCTACTTACGTTACTCACTGTATACGCTTGAGTTCATCATGGTCGCTTTCCTATCAGTAGCTGCTGCCCATGGGTGGCATACCGAAAGGAGGCATTGGAGGCATCCCCAATCCACTCATTGGAGGGGGAGGGGCAAAGCCTCCTCCCATTCCAGGCATTGGTGGTGCGGGCAAAGCAAGAGGTAACAACTGAGCATACATATTCTGCAACGGGAGAACAATATATGCAATCGGTATTCAGTATTGTAAAGTTCAATAAATGATGTATAAGTAGATAGGAATTATCAACAAAAGCAGGTAACAAAATGGCCAAACTAATTACCTGTTGAGCAATTACTTCCTTCTCTTCTTGCTCTTTAACCTTCACTTGGTTCTGCGCTTCAATCCTGTCCTTCACCAGTTCATCAACTTTGCCAGTGTACTCACGGATAAACTACAACACAGTAAAAAGGAGACAGTGAAAGAAAGAACTAGATAACATGATGAAAAAGACATACATATTAATGCATGTTTGAGTAACAAAAGTAAGCAGCACAGAAGGAATACATACCTGCAAGAGATATGGGAAGGAAAAGTCAATCATATTGTTCATCCAGGCCAACTCAAGAGCAATGTCTGCTCGGATCAAATCATAGCAAACAAATAGACACGAGGCAAAGCATTCTTTCTTTCCCTGCATAAGCATGTAGAAAGAAATATTAGAATATATTGACCTCACTCAAGTGTATGCACATTTACAAATAATAGGTTGGAATATCACCATTCCAAAGGTAAAATGTTAGGACCTTATGATAAGAATATCAAAACACTATTCATCAGAAACTGAGTGTTGATAATAATACTCCTAACATCAAACTGGCAGAATCAATTGTCACTATAATCTCAAAAAATAAATCAGTAACAGTGCTAGTTGCCAATAGTTTATAGGAACTTCATATGCCATGGTGAGTACTACAGGTGTCTATCAATAACGAAACCATCGTAGCTTAGCTTCTTAGTCTTTAAATAAAACATAGAATGAGAAAACCCAAATCATACATGCTGAGCAATGTTACTAAAAAAGAATTATATGCTGTTGAAATTGAATTTGGTACCTGATCAATGAAATAGACAAGCAACTCCTCAGCAAGTTCACGGTCACCAGACTGTGATGCTGTCTCCATAGCATCTTTGTAAAGGTTATCCTTTTTCGACAAGGCAATGGATTGCTTCCATCTGCCTGCCTTCTTGTAAATGTAAGCAGCTACACGTCTCATCTCAAGAAGCTCATGTTTTTCAATCTGCAATCCAGATAATAACAAGAATATCTTTCAGGATCCTAATTTTGAATTGAAAAATAGTCAACACAAAAGAAATGCAGCTAACCTTCTGCGCAAGGCCTATTTGGTCAAAGTTATCATGCAAATCAATTGACTCGCGCAATCTATCATAGTCTTCCTCCTCAACATATATTTCATTCAGGGCTTCATTAACAGCAGACACATTGTTACTCTGAACTGCAACCATGTATGGCTTCACAAGACGGAGATGACCAGCCTAAAACATTGCAGGGAAAACATTCATGAGCGAAATATGAAATAAAAACTAAGATCTAATGAAATTGTTGCCAGTATAAATACTACCTTTCGCATGATGTCAACAACACGTGCATGATCCACACGGAGTGCTAGGACATTCAGAACATCATTGATAAGATCTGGATGCTCTTGTAAATAGAAGTGAACGGCCTTGTAATACAACTCAACATTAGCAACTTTGACAGCAACATCTTTGAATTGCATATGATCCCATGCTTCAGGTGAATGGTTCATGATGGTTGTTGCAGCATTATCAAACTCATCATACTGGATGTACAAATAGGTCAATTCCTTCCAATGTTGTTGTTCATCACAAGCTCTTATAAGCTTTGGAATGTTGAGTCGGGTGGCAAATAGTTTGATATGCTCCATAAGCTTCTCAGGACGATATCTAGCATATAGAACTCCCAACTCGGTGAAGATACCCATATGTGCCCGTTCTAATCCTAAACCACTCTCCATGAGGGATATTAGCTCGTTGAAGCAACCTCTATTTTGGTAATATTCACTGACCTCTTCCAAGTCATCCACCTACCAAATTCGCAATGAAAACTGACTTAATCATTGGAAAGAGTATAAGCTCACAAGCTGGACACTCAAGCAATGCTAACAAAACCTTCCAATCATCACAAGTTCACAGCAAATTTATACTTTAAGTATATTATTTTCCCATTA